ATATACTATAAACCCCACAATACATTGTTATTATTTTTGTCTTAAACAGTCAGTGTTTTAAAAACTGGATTAAAAATGAGAAAGATATCTTTTATATTTTCCCCATGTTTACCATTTTTGGTGTTCTTTATTCCATTGTGTAGATCCAGATTTCCTTTGGCATCATTTCCCTTCTGCCTCAAGCATTTCTTTTAATATATTTTTTAAAGTGTAGATCTGCTCAAAGTGAATTCTCTCAACTTTTTTTTTGTTTGAAAAAGTCTTTATTTAACCTTCATTTTTTTTTTAAAGACTTTATTTTTTCCTTTTTCTCCCCAAAGCCCCCCAGTATATAGTTGTATATTCTTCGTTGTAGGTCCTTCTAGTTGTGGCATGTGGGACGCTGCCTCAGCGTGGTTTGATGAGCAGTGCCATGTCCGCGCCCAGGATTCGAACCAACGAAACGCACGAACTTAACCACTCGGCCACGGGGCCAGCCCCTTAACCTTCATTTTAAAAACACGTTTTTGCTAGGTATAGAATTCTTGCTTGACAGGATTTTTGTTTTATTTCATTCAGTACTTTAAAGATGTAATATTGCTTTCTGGCTTGCATAGTTTCTGATGAGAGATCTGCTTCATTCTTACCCTTGTTATCCTCTGTAGATATTGTCTTTTTATCCCTCACTATTTTTCAGATATTCTCTTTATCATTGGCTTTCAACAATTTGATTATAATTTGTCTACTTGGGGTTTATTGAGCTTCTTATATCATTGAGATTATAATTTTAGTCAGCCATGATTTTTTTTCTACTTGCCACTTTCTTTTCTTTATTTCTGGGACTCCAAATACATGTATGACCTGTAGCTGTTATACATGTCCAATTACATGTAAAACAAGACCACTTGGTGTTGTTTGACAGGTCATTAAGGAACAATTTTTTCAGTCTTTTTTCTCTCTGTGCTTCATTTTGTATAATTTTTATTCTCATTTTTTTCCTTTTCAGGGTCTAATCTGCTGTTAATCCCATCCCATGTATTTTTCAATTCAGCTGTCATATTTTTTTATCTCTATAAGTTTCATTTGAATCTTTTTAATATTTTCCATTTCTGTCACTTTCATATTCCTCTTGGTCTCATTGACCATAAAGAGCATATTTATAACAGATATTTTAACATCCATGTCTGCTAATTTCATCATTTCTTGATCTGTTTCTATGGACTGATTTTATCTTCTGATGTTGAGTAACACATTTCTGCTTCTTGACATGTCTAATAAATTTTGATTGGATGCTAGACATTATGAATTTTACCTATATGTGGGTGTGGGGAGCAGGATATATGACGTGTGTGAGGGGCGGGGTAAGTACGTGATGTGGAGGGTGAGCGTGTGGAGGGCAGCTGTGTGTCAGTGGAGCTCCGAGAGTCTGTGTGGTGTGGTCTCTCTGTAGGTGAGAAGTCCTCATTCTCTGTCCTTGTAGAGGTCTCTAGACAAGATGGGGAGGGAGCCTCAGAGGGGATTCCTCAAGGGCTGTCTGGGAATCGTGGGGGTGCAGCACCCCTTCTCTGTCGCTGCAACAGCTCTCGGCTCCTGTCTCAGTATTCTAGACATCACTTCGACAGTCTACTTCAGTCCCCGGTGACTTGTTAAAAGACGTCAAAGGAGACTTCAGACTAGAAATTTCCTTGCCATTCACGTTTTTTAACACTGAAGATATAACTATAAAGAACATGTCTGTGAATGCTAATTAGCCTCTAGAGAGGGAGAAAGAAGAGAATAGAAGAGAGACACAAACAGACACCGAGCTGTAGAGGGCCAGAAAAATGCTGCGGGGACAGCAGGGGAAAAGGGAATTACTCCTTGAATTCTGTAAAATAACCTTAAGGATACACCTGTCTCATGAAGGTGAAAAAGACTAAGTATAGACAACAAAAGGATCTGATCCCAGAGATGAGTAAGTAGGACGAGAGATGGAGCTGGCATGAGAATTCCCCTTTGCAAAGAGGCAAGTGCAGGGGGCTGAGGTGCCCCCTGCACAAGGACGGCAGAGCCCACCCACGGTGGGCACAGTAGGTGCTGGAGTATGGGATGTGACCTGAGGGTAGCTGGCCAGGCTCTCACATCCAGTCTTTCTTCCCTGAACCCGCTAACCCCCAACCACTTACATCTGAACTCCTACTTTAATAGGAAGCACAAAAAAATGAATCTTTGTTTAGCACCAGGTATGTTTGTAAACACTATATTATTTAATTCTAATTATATCTATATGAAGTAGATACTTAGGAAATATTATCTCCACTTTATAGACAAGGATATTGAACATCAAAAGGTCAGGCCTGAGCCTGTCTCCTGATAGTGGACGAGGCTGCTTCTATCCTTTGGGTCTTGAAAGTTTGGTTTGTTGCTATTGAAATATTTCAGTCTTCATTTTCCCTCCCACATTACCAAGTAAATGCATGCTTACTAAAAGGCATTTAAAAAATACTGAAAGTTACAAAAAAGAATATAAAAATCATTCATAATCCATAGTGATCTCTATTTTCTTTATGGTTTTGATAATTATTGTAGCTAGCAAAATGCTCTGCTAGGAATGCTTTCAACTGTAAGAAATAGACAACTTGACTACCAACACAAAGATAAGAGTGATTACAAAATAGAGATTTTTTTTTTGTATGTTAGGAAGTCTGGAGGTAGGCAGTTGCCACTGTTGCTTTAGTGGTTCACCAACAGATCAACATCTTGAAAATGCTCTCAGCCTTGGCCTCGTGGTTACAAAATGGCTGCTGCAACTCCAAAAATCAAAGCAGTAAGAAGAAAAAGAAAGGTACTAGCATCAACTGTTCATTTATGAAAAAAAGAAAAGCTTTTCCAGAGGCTGCTGGCAGATTTTTTCTGTTTACAACCTGTGGGCCACAACAGGTTGACAAAGCCACTCCTACCTTTAAGGGAGGCCGGGAAAAACGTTTTGCTCCTCCAGACTCTCTAATTGAAGTGGGTTAGGGAGAAGGGGATTGGGAATGGGAGTTGCGTTAGCCAGTCAATGGGGTCTGCCACAGATGCAGTGCTCTGATTGGCCAGGCCTGTTCACAAGTTCACCTCTGGAGCTGTGACAGACCCTGCTTTCCCACAATTACATGGACTGAAACTAGTGGGAGAAAAATGGGTGCTGTAAACACAAAGGAAAACGGATGCTAGGGAGGCGAGAATGAAAGATGTCCATTATATTTTGTATCAGTTACCTTTTACTGTATAACCAGTCCCCCCCTCAAACTTAGTGGCTAAACACAAGCATTTATAATACTCACAATTCTGTGGGCCACTTGAACAGTTCTTCTGCTCTGGGCCTGCCTAGATGACTTCTCAGGTCCCTTTCAACTCTCGAAAGTGAGATAATAGTAGCTACTATTGACTGGATACCTACTGTTCCTTAGACAGTGACATTAGTCTACTTAAATATCTCCTCACACTTTCCTCCTTCCCCAGCTCCTAGTATCTGTTAGCATCTTTTAAAGGATTTGTATCCTATTGAGATGTATTATATTCAGATGTAAGTCCTAATTTTGGAGGTGCAGCATTGGGTGCTCCAAGGACATGGTTCTAAAAATCCTCACCACAACCCTAGAAGGTATTGTATCTTTTTACAGATGAGGAAACTGAGGCTCTAAGAGGTCGAGTGACTTGTTCAAGGTCCCTCAGCTGGTAATTTTGAGCTAAGGGTCTCCTTATTCCGAGTTTAGTTCTCTTTTCAACGTACCACAGCTGTCTACTGGCTTCCTCAGAACAGACTGGGCCCATCCCGTGAAGTCCAGTCACTGCAGAAGTTGCTGGAAACTTTCCTCTCCTCCCTGGAAAGTAAGTCAAGTGCCAGCTACTCTTGGACTACGGATTCCAAGTCCCCTCAAGGGGCAGCCCTCTGTCTTAATTGTGCTCATTCAGGAAGCCTTGCATGGTTCTGTGACTTGTTTTTTTCCGACTGGATTCTCCAACTGACCTCAACCAACCTAGTTCTCTGAAGCAAACAAGTCTGTCAGGGGGTTGGGGTACAGGCTGCCCAGGTCTCGGACAACCCTTGGGGCAGTGGGGTCCCCCAGCCCCCTTAAAAGGGCAGAACAGCAGGGGTCTCTCATCCTGGAGGGCCGCAAGGACTTCCTGCCATCCACAGCCGAGAGCGATGAAGCAGGATGTCTGCTGCTAGGAAGGTATTAGAACGACCACCTGCCGGGGCCCCTCCTGCCTCACCAGTGTGGAGTTCCAGAATGGCCCAGTGGGGAGGGGAAACAACTGCCCCCGTCCTCCAGGTGCTCAGGTTAGGGGTACGTAGGGGCAGGACAGGAGGCAATATTTCCCCAACTCCCCTTTGGCAGACAGACCTCCAGATAAACCTTTTCTCACCATTGCCGTGCACTCAGTTAGAACTTTTAAGCCTCATTGACTAGGAAGGTGTAGCTTTGTTGTTTTAAAAATCCAGGCCTACCTGTGTCTGCTGGCAGTCGTACTGGCGAGAACACAGAAACAGCAGGCTCAAAAACACTGAGTAAAATGCAAGATGAGGCTCCTGGGTTTGGAGTGAATTTTGTCTCACGGCATGATTGTTGCTGCACAATTAGTTAACACAATGCATTGTGACGATATTGTCTTTCTAGACGGTTAGCATCTGTTGTCAGTGTGGGTTACCTTGTGTTCAACTTCAATATTAAAATAAAGAATTTGCACTGCTGTTGGAAATTGTTCTTGATTCTGTTTGAGGGGAAATCCCCATTATTCTTCTTTGAAGCTTCCAGTATTAAGAGAATTAAAGAGGATCCTAAGATTACAAGGTTTAAAATACTGTTACTATTTACAGCTACTAATTTGTGTGAGTTAGGATTTTTGTTCTGTGTAACCAAAATAAAGTTGGGAAATAAATAGGATCCATGAGATTGCAACAATCAGCCAATATCTCAATTTCAAATTTTTCTATTCATCAAAGCAACCTCTTGATTATTACAGCTATTGGCTTTAATAACTTAATATTATAAATCTTAACTTATCAAATACATTTATTCATATAAAATACCATTTAAATCTGTTTTCTATATTGGGGTTCTGCATGAAATTGAATTTTGAAGAGTTCCTCTGCTCTCCCATTGTCTCCCAGGAGCCACAGGCAATCAAGGTTTTATTATTATTCCCATTTTACAAATAAGGAAGCAGAGGCTCAGAGAGGTTGACTGATTTTCCCAAGGGAAAGAAGCAAATACACAGATGAATAAATAAGCAGGTAAGGGGCAGAGCTAACGCTTGAAACCAGTTCTCCCAACTGCAGATTCAAACCTCTTCCCATTGTACCACACTGCTCTCTCCACTCATTCCCACGCTCCTGGCAATGTGTGTGCTGAGGCTGGTGCTCGCTCAGAGGGCACTCAAGTCCAGGACAGACTGAAAATGGTCACTTTTGGGTGGAGCGTAGGAGGAAGCAGCATTAGCAGAATTCTGGGGCCTGAGAATTCTCCCCAGGGCCCAGAAGGCTGTTTGGGGTGTGGGAGCAAGTTTTGTCCCCCAAACCTAGCAAACCCAACGCCCCACCCAGGAGTCAAGAGAGGTGACCTCAGAGGGATTTGCACCTGCCAGGAGCTCCGCAGGAGGGAGCGGAGCCCAGTATGCTAAGCCGTTCTGCAAACTGCTCATTCTGTTTGGCTAAGTGTATTTATGCCACTGGAGAGAACTGAAACATAAACCGCATTTCCAGGGTGGGGCATTAATGCTTCCTTTGGTTTCAGAACCTTGAGTTGAGCCAGAAAAATAGAACTTCGGCCCTATAAGCTCTTTGAAGTTTGCACACCACTCATGTTCCAGAATGAGAGAGTCACTAGAAGTCTGATGAGCATGGATATTCACGTCATTGGGCACGTGGGGGCCTCACGAATGGGTATAGGCTACACCCGCCGCTTCCAGACGCTTCCTGTTCCAGACCCTTGGGCTCCCCGTGGCAGCTGGAAGAAAGCAAATGTCAGCACCTGCTCCCCCACTGCTCTCCTTGGCGTTCTCCCACCGACCCTCCAGACCCTCCGTAAACCTTTGGGCTCTGCCTCACCCCACCACCCCCACCTCCCATTGCATTGGTGCCCAAATTGCCTTTTTGCAGTTTAACTGCTACCTCTTTCCTGGTCGTGAAATGCACCTAGGAAGTCACACGTCCCCTTCACATATTTTGTGTATCTGGCACTGACCTGTCCTTCTCTTGGGATTGCCATCCCCTGAGCGCTGCTTCCCTGCCGCTCCCCAACCGCCTGCTTTCAGGGAGAGCTGCCTGTTCCTACCCAACCACACCCCCAGCCAGATGTGATTGGGCCACGACTCAGCAGTCCCCGGATGTTATAGGTTGGAATTCGCTCTTGATGGAGTAATAATAGCTAGTTTTCCCTGTGTAGTGGTGTAAGCACTTTACTGGTACTGACTCACTTAGTCTTTAATCTCATGAATTAGGCACTGTTATTAGCTTAATTTGCAGTTGAGGAAACAGGCAGAGAGTTTAAGTTACTTGCCCAAGTTTACTCAGTCAGAAGCTGCAGAGCCAGGATGGAAACCTAAGTAGTCTGGGGCCCCTCCTCCCTCATTCCTTCTCCCCCTCCTCTTTCCCCTTCTCCTCTCTTATAAAGTTTTAAACAGGCAGAAAGGTAGACAGAATAATTAATTCCCATACACTCATCACCTAGATTTAACAGTTGCTAACATTTTGCCATCTTTGCTTCATTTATTTTTTAAAATCTCTAATAGATAAGGACTTTAAAAAATCACATTGCCACACCACCATAATCACCCTAAACTAAACTAGCAGTGAGTGGTTTCTTCATTTGTCTACTACTCAGTCCATGTTCAATCTTTTCTGCATATATCAAAAATGTCTTTTTATAGTTGTTTTATGTAAATGAGGATCCAAAGTTTACAAATTGCATAAGGTTGGTCCATCTGTTAAGTCTCTTTTAATCTACAACACTTTTTTTCTGAAGCTATTAATTTGTCGAAGAAACTCGGTCATTTCTCCTGAGGCACTTCCCACATTCTGGATTTGGCTGATTCTGTTCTCGTGGTAGTGTTCGATGTGTTACTCTACTGTGGTAGTAGTAGTAGTCAGACTAGTAGTCAGACTAGTAGTGAGATGTAGAGTCTTGATTACTGTAGCAGACACTGAGGCATTCTCTGTACCCCTGGACGTTCATTTCCACATGCTGAAGGTTGGCATCTTGCTGCCTAAGGACTTTTTGTCTCACTGTGAAGCACACTTACTTGTGCTCTGAGCACCATGGGAATGCGGGAGAATCCATGAGAAGCAACCTTCAACCAGTGGATCGGGAATTGGTGCAAAAGGCCCCAGCTCCATCATCCCTCCGTTGGGTGAACTCTGAAATTTGTTCTGCGCTAAGTTCTCCAGTGAGGTTGAGGTCCAGTCATCCACAGTGTACCTGTCTCATTTTCCCACTCCCCTACTGGAATTTTCTGGGGTCACTTCCCAAACAAATCCTAGTCTCAGGGTCTGCTTCTGTGGTTACACAAACCAAGACAATTAGATTTTGGTTCGCATTTTTCAAATGAACGTGGCAAAGTTTGTGTTGTATATTTCCTATTGTGTCACGTCAGGGAAACACGATGTTCGGTTGTTCCACTTTTGCTAAAGTTAAGACTGATCAATGGTTCAAGTAATGTCAGCGTAACCTATTTATTATGAATTTCCCAACAAGCCTGAGGCTTGCTTAGATTCATTATTTTATCATGAGTTGTAATGATGGTGGTTTTTTGTTTCAATAATTCCTCCTGAAATTATTAGCTGTGATCTCGCCATTAAAAATAACATCATCTGTTTGGTAACCTGAATACAGTTTATATAAGAAAGGCAGGATAAACACTTCATTGATTGTTTTCTTTTTTTTAAATCAGTTTTCACCGACCTCCAAAGGTGACAAATGATGAGTTTTTTATTTTAAGATATAAAAGTATTTTAAATTATGAACCTTAGAATTTATATTTATGACATGCTATAATCCATTGCTGTCTTTATTCTTCTTGATGCTCATTTTTTCCCAGCTGTGGCTAGTAGGGGCCCAGTCGAGTTGACTGCAATGTTCTTTCGACATAAACCCAGAAGTCTTCAAGAGCTTCTTTGATTTCAGGCAAAACAAGAAGATGCAGGGTTATCTTGTACGTTTCTAGCTCCAGCCCAGAATTAACCATTTCTCTAAATAGCCCAGGTTCCTTTTAGCATGTTGAAATAAATTTCTAGGCCAAGATGGAGCTAGATCCAAGATGAAGTGCTCCTGCTCGGGGTGCCATGTCCGCAAACTGAGCTTCCTGTTCCTGTAAACGCCTTTCTTGACCAGAAAGGAAGTATATCCAGTCAGCCAATTTCCAAATGCCAAGCCAACTCTGGGGTCTATACTTTTTTTCCTTTGTTCCTTGATCTTTCTAAATGAGGTCAAATGTGCAACCCCAGCTAATCTCTCCCTATTTCCATGTCACTGCTTCTAGTGCTCTATAAAACTCACCCTTGCCCAAAATCCTTCAGGAAGACGACTCCGCGGATTGTGAGGCACTGTACTCACGCAATCTGTGGATTGTTTTCCTTTGAATAAAGGCCATCAACTCGCTACTAAATTGTTTTAGTTGTGTCATTTGACAGCGGGAAATGGTCTCTGAGAACACAACATGAACAGTAGCAGTGCTCATTGCTACCAGCTTGGTACTGCTTCTAGGTCTTTTGGTGTACAGAGCTGAGAAATACATATTTCTTAGAAAAATGAAAATATAATTTTTCTTAAAAATTAAATGAAAAAGTAAAATATATTCTTAAATATATTTTTCTTTTTATTAGAAAAAGAAAAACTTATCCTGAGTTCATACTGTTATTTCCAACTCAAAATATGTATGACAACTTGCACTTCTTGTTTTTTTGTTTTTGCATTTCCTTTGATTTGTGTCTCTTATTCTGAAAATTTTTTATCTTAAAAACATGAATAAAAACATGACTCATTTGCTTTATCCCGTTACACACACACGCACGCGCACACACACACACACACACATATATATTAGCGTGGTAGACTGACTGCATTAATGGCTCTAATTCTTCACCCTGTGTGCTTCTACATACATACCTTTTGCCGTACATGTTTTTTAGTCTCTCTCAAAGAAGTTGAGGAGTCGGTTTTACCATCCCCTTGACTCTGGGCTGGTCTTGTGCTTATCTTTGGCCAGTGGAATGAAGTAGAAGCGATGGTGTGCCAGTTCCAGGCCCAGGCATTAAGGCTCCTTGGCTGTTTCTGTTCTTCCCTTGTACCTCTACAAAGGCCCTGAGAATGTGCCTGGACAACCCTGCTAGAGACTCATGAAGCAGAGCTGAGCCCCCCTAGTCATTCCAACAAGGCGAACCTAGATCAGCCAACAGCTCATAGGTCTCTCCATCATTTAGTTTTGAAAACATAAGCAATTATATATATGTATTCATATCCCCCTCTGTATTATTTTCCTCAGGTTGCTGTAACCAACTGTACCACAAGCTGGGTGGCTTAAAACCACAGAAATTTATTCTTTCCCAATTCTGAATGCTGGAAGTCTGCAATCTGGGTGTTGGCAGGTCCGTGTTCTCTCTGATGTTCTGGGGAAGAATCCTTCCTTGACTCCTCCTAGCTTCTGCTGGTTGCCAGCAATCCCTGGCGCTCCTTGGCTTATGGCTGTATTGCTCCCCTGTCTGCCTCTGTCATCACATGGTCTTCTTCTCAGTCGCTGTGTCGAAATTTCCCTCTTCTTGTTAGGACACTGGTCGTTGGATTAGGGCCCACCTTAATCCAGTGTGAACTCATTTTAATTTGATTATATCTACAAAGACTCTATTTCCAAATAAGGTCCTATTCACTGGTACTAGGGGTTAGGACTTGATCATATCTTTTAGGGGGAACATAATTTAACCCAAAATACACCTTCCACTTTTTTTTTTTTTGGTGAGTAAAATTGTGGCTGAGCTAATGTCTGCACCAATCTTTCTCTGTTTTGTATGTGGGATGCCACCACAGCATGGCTTGATGAGCGGTGTGTAGGTCCATGCCCAGGATTCAAACTCATGAACCCCAGACCAACAAAGCGGAGTGCACGAACTTAACCACTACACTACCAGGCCTGCCCCCACTCACTTTTTTTTTTTTTTAAACAAAATAGTATACTATTTACACTCTTCAGTGCCTTGCAGAGTCCACATACATCTGGCACGGCCTGATTCCTGCTTCCCAGGATCACTTTGGCAGCAGTAGAGAGGCTGAATTAGAGGCAGCAAGATGAGGAGGCCCATTAGGAGTAAACTTCTCCAACACTTCAAAGCCTCCCACTCCTCCTCAGCTGCCACTCACTCCCATGACCATTTCTTGGGGCCTCATCACAGTGAATGCTACCCCCCTGTTTGAAACAAAGCTCCTGATCTTTCCCTCTCAGATGTTCCATATTCCTTTCATATCCTCTGTCTTGGTGAATGGCACCACCATCCATCAGCTAACCAAGCAGAAACCTGATATCACCCTCGATTCTTCACTTTCCTCATCCCTAACCATTGCACGTTCATTCAAAGAAGCATTGAGCACTCACTGTGTTCCAGGCACAGTGCCAGGTACTAGCAATACAAAGAATATTTAGGCTCAGTGCCTGCCCTCGAGGAGCTCACAGTCAAATGGAAAATTATGATTTGAGTGATTAGAATCCAGAGGATCATCTCTTATATTATCATCTCCATTTTACAGATGGAGAGACTCTGAAAGGACAGTTTGCCCAAGACTGCTAAGTGACATGACTAGGACTTAAATTCAGGTCTGTGTGCCTCTACAAAGCATATTTTTCCTCCTTTGAGTAGCCAGAAATTCTTGCCCATTTTGTCTTCTGGTCTTGAGGTCTCCATTGCTAATGGCACTGACTTAGTCATAAGCTCATTATCTCTCAGCTGGAACTTGAAATTTTCTCCTAATTGGCCTCTTTGCCTACCTGCCTTCAATTCTGCTGCCAAAGCAATCGTGGAAAGCAGAAGCCAGGTCATGCCATTCCCTGTGCAGGAGGATGAAATCCATCCTGCTCAGCAAAGCTGTCGAGGCCTTTCATGACCCGACCCCTGCCCACCTTTCTAGCTTCATCATTTAAGGCACACCCCCCCCCCATTTAAATTTTCATGAGTCCAGTCCCACTAAATCACCTCAGATCCCCTGACTGACCTTGGGCAAGTTTCTTAACCGCTCTGGGCCTCAGGTTCCTTGTCTGTAAAACCAGAATAATAATAAAACCT